GTCGTCGTAGTAGTAGCAGCAGTAGTGTGGTAGGAGTGGCAGCCGTAGTAGTCCGAAACCACATGCTGCCAAGAATGGTAGTTCTAGTCTTGTGGCATTCCTAGCAGTACTTAAGGGCATCAACACAGCTACACTGTTAATCTTTATTTCGTATCATTCAGATTCAGATCCGTGTGTCACGGTGCGGTCAGTCAGCACAACTTGCAGTTGAAGAAGAAATAGAAATGGATACAGCAACCAGAATGATAAGGGCAACAGCCCAGCACGACCAGTGAACCCCGTCATCGTTTTACACGCAAACTCATGGTAATAGTCGTAGTGTTAGCAGCAATAAATAATTTAACATTCGTCCAACCAGAACTGGCTCCCTGGCGCAGGCAAGAATCTGCAGCCAGCCTGTTCCGAAAGCTCGGGTCTATTTTCCACAAGAGCTCATATCGGAAGACCCCGGGGTTGTGATGTATAGCGGCCGCTCTGCTTGCAGTAGTGAGGCTGTGAGTTTTGTGTGTAGTTCGGTGTTCATTCAAGACTTCTTCCCTTTCCCGACCGCTCAATGCCAGGCTACGTGAATGTGACACGTGATGATTACTTATTCTATTGGTTTTTCGAGGCCATGGAGCCAGAAGCATCCTCCCCAGTTATTGTGTGGGGCAACGGTGGACCTGGATGCACATCGATGGAGGGAGCTGCAACCGAGATTGGACCACTCGTCCTCGATGGCGTGAAGAAGTCATCACACTTCTCGGGTAAGCTGTCCTACAATAAGTATGCTTGGAACCGGCGGGCCCATGTCCTCATCGTAGACCAGCCTCGCTATGTCGGCTTTTCCACAGGCCGAGGGCAGTTCGTGAACTCATCAGCTCAAGCTGGACTGGACATGGTCCAGTTCTTGCTGGGCTGGCAAGCGCTCTTCCCGGAGATCCCGAGTCCGAAGTTCGTGTTGTCTGGCGAGTCCTATGCAGGCCATTTCGTTCCGGCTTGGGCAAAGGCCGTCGCAGACTACAATCGAAACTCGGGGGATGTCCGACCCATAGGCCTTGCAGGAATCGCGTTGAGCAGTGCATGCATCGACGACGACATCCAGAATCTTGACACGTTCGTTGCATACTCCAAGCAATCAGGTCTGCTGCCTGAGTATGCTGCTCCGCACAATATGTGGGAAGCTTCAGAACAGATGGCGCTGTTCCTGAAGTACCGGCCCAACCAGTACGACCACACTCTGCCGGATAAAGGACCCTGCTGCGGATGCTACGGATACAACTACTCCAACTTTTCCAGCTGGTTCTCGCGGCAAGATGTGCTGGAGGCACTCAACATCTGCGGCACGGCTGGACGAGACACTTTCGGCGGCTGTGCGGGTGGCTGCATCTCTTTGCCCAGTGCTTTCGACAAGGGACCCCCGTTTGGCTACGCTGCTGCGCTTTCAGACTTGCTAGACTGGGGGATCCCTGTTCTGCTTATGTATGGAATGAGAGATCTTACATGCGACTATGTCGGCCCTGTCCTTAGCACTTGCTTTCTCGAGATGTTCCTAGATGTGGCCTCGGCTTTCATCCAAATCGTGCCCTGGAGCTGCTCTAAGGCGGCTATGCAGTTGCTAGCTCCTTGCGTTGGGATCGGCAGAACGAGTTTTCCAGCGCGCCCATGGAGTCCTTCCAGACCTTCGGGCAAAAGCAGTCCGGCGGAGGCCCGATCATGTTGATGCTGCTAGTTATGATCATGGCGGTGACACGATCATGACGATTACGACGAGGAAGACATCGACAGAAGCAATCAGCAAAACCTCCATAGGCAACATCACCGTCGCCACCTCCAAATCTGCGACCAATAGTCAAGTCAGCATGACAGTCGGAATGATTGCTGTTGTTGAACATCCTCCTTCATCCTGACTCTCCTCTTTTTGCACCAGTATTGTCTCATCATCACCGTGAGTGTCAGCATCGTCTACTTCATCGAGATCATCATCATCATCATCATCATCATCGTCATCCTCGTCATCGTCATCATCAGCATCATCGTCATTGTCGTCGTCATCGTGTTGTCATCGCCACCACCACTACCACCACCAACAACAACGACGACCAAGCCTGAATCGTCATCCTCCTTATCACCATGCTCTTTCAATTTATCCTCATGACCAACTGCAACCACCTCATCGTGAAGATGATAATGGTCATCGTCCTATATCGCCCTCGTCACCATGGTACCCAATCATCATCATCGTCATCATCATCATCATCATCATCATCATCATCATCTTGATCAACGTCATCATCTCTTCTTCATCAGTCAGGAACAGTAGCAACATCATGACTATCATGGTCACGGTCGTTCTTTTTCCAGTGAACATTTGTCTAATCATTGTCGTCGTTATCAGAATAGCACTTTCATCTTCCCACATCACTACCGCTTTCTCATTGAGCCAGTCACTGTAGTTTTTGTCGTTTTGCCTATCATGGGGTCCATCGTTGTTTTGCAATTGCAACTGCCGGCACTACCAGCATCACGCATATTTATGTACATACATGCACTACCATCTCCTCTTTCAGCACATGGACTATGCGCTTCGTCGCTGAGGCTTGACATTCGTGCAGATGCTCCGCTGATCTTGGCTGTCGGTGATTAAGCGACATGTGCAGCTTTTCGAGGAGAGCCCCGTAGGAGCTGCAGGTGGTAGTTTTGATCCGGTTCTCGGGCGTCGTCCTTGGATTCTGCTTCTGATAACCTCGCATTTATCTTGCCATCACTACAGCTCACTGCCTATTCTTAAATGTCGGGATTTTTCTGTATTTCAGGATGTGTCTCAGTAGTGGAGATGCAGGGTTTTTTTTCTGGAGCTGAACCCTGATGCCCTTTGGAGCCTACACCGCAGGGTTGAAAGCACTAGCATTCCTCGCAAGTTCTTCTTGCAATGTATTTAAAACGGGGGGGGGGGGCTTCCCTTTTTGTCTTGAGGTTCTTTCAAGTGATTGGCAGTTGGGGTGGCTACTGCATCAAAGCGCACTGAGGATAACTTCTAGACTCTAGATGTAGATCAGACCAAGCTGATCCTTGAACCCAAGAACCTGCGGTGAACTAAGGATAGAGGAAGCTGGGCACATGTGCCCAGCCGACAATCCCGAAGCTTCATCTCACGCAATCGATCTCTTGCTGGACGACTCTTGGTGCTGAGAGTTGCAGTGGTTTGGTGTGGGCGTGGGTTGATGATTTCTGGCTTGGGGAGTGACTGTGTTACAAGTTTGCAAATTCTGTCGTCATCATGTATGTTACATCATAGTTTAGAAGTACCTTGGAGCCTCAAGGAAGGTGCACATTGTCCAGTTCATCTTTTTTCAGGCATTGTAGGCAAACGCGAGATAGCTGTTGGCGCTTTGCTTTCCAAGGCCATTGCAGTCAACGGTGAGTCCGAATACCTGCGACAATTCAGACGCCAACCGTCCGCTGCCTCGAGGCAAGTGTCGAGAAACATGGCTTTCTCAGGAGTGATTAGAGCGATGCAACAGCAGCCGTGGCCGTAACACTACTGGGTACTAGGCACACCAATGCTAGGCTCGGCTTAGTCCCAAACCCAATATTCAATTTCACTGCGTCCCGTTTATAGCCCTCGATTCTCAGTCGAAGTGGCCGCTTGCTCACTCCGGATACCAATTCCGACAGGCTTCACGGCCATGGCATTTGGACGATGATGGCTCCTTGAACTCGAAGCTAATAGTTATTATAGTCTGTCCTAGTATATGACAGTACATTACATATGATTATATATCATATTGTATCATCCCCAAGCATCGATAATATGGGGGGGTTCTTGTCAGAGCCTCCTGCGAAGACGTTGGACACTGGCCAAAGTGTGAAACCGACATGCCGCAAACAGGCAGGTGCAAGGTCTGTCGGTCAAGTTCTTTGTATATGGCCCAAACCCTAATACCCTAAGGGTCCATCTACCCAAATAGTATATACTTTGGCCCCAAGAACCTATATAGGGATTACTTTAAAGCCAAAGTATATACTATTTGGGTACAAGGACCCTTAAAGATATGGACGTCACCCCTGAACTCTTCTGATTTTGAGTCCCTCTGACCCTAAAGTCCTGTAGGCCCAAATCCCAACTCCTGTTGTGAGGTCTGCACAGCCCAAAGGCCGGACATCCCGAAGCCCACAGACTTGAGCCCTTAAGTTTGAAACCTGGATAGCCCCGTAAACTTCAAACCTTAAACCCTGAACGCTGAGGCTTAAAGTCCCAAACCCCCTTTTTGGGGGTTTCCGAAAAACAGGGGACCCTAATATAGTACCCTGAATAGTAGGATCCCTACTATAGGGACCCCCAATAAGGTACCCCCCTAATTTTCGGAAACTCCCA